CCGCCCTGCTGCTCCCCCCAGAGCGGGGGCTGGGACGCATCTCCCCCCCGCTGGAAGTCCGGCCGGGGGCGCTTCTCGAGGCCGTGGGCTGCCTCCAAGTTTCTGGGGTGCTGGGGTCTGCAACTGAGGCAGCAGCGGGCTCGCGTGGGAGCACGCCTCCAGCCCCTCTGGAACCAGACCGAGAGATCAGCCCCGCCCGGCTGCAGGTGGGGGGAGGGGCTGCGTGGTTTCTGCTCAGTGGGCAGCTCTGCTTCACACAGTCGCTCACGAAGTACGTAAAGTGAGGTTGGGGCTTTTTCCCTTGTGCAACGTCCGGGAAGTAGGCTGGCTTGTGTCAGAGTGAGGCAGCAATAGAAGGGTTCCTCCTTTGCATCACTGCGGCTGTGGCTAGATGGCCCTTGGACCAGGCAGCGCAAGAACGGAGCATGGGATGCAAACTCAGATGGGTGCAGCGCTTAATCAACCGGGTGGGGCTGGGGGGGGGAGACGTTGCTGAACTGCCACTGTTGGGCAAGTTCGTGGCCTCTCTGCACCAGATGCACTCAAGCATAACATGTTTTCTGAGCTGGGCTTGGCCAAATGGGTTCACACAGCCAGTTCTAGCTTACGGGATGGAAGCGTGGCTTCGCACGATACATGAGCGCAGTGATTCCATGGAAAAGGGAGCCTCCGCCTAGGTCTGTCCAGCTTCACACACCCTGTATTTAGAACTGTACGTGGCGGTATTACTTTCAAAGAAGCCAGGTGTTTCTGGAGTGCATCATTCATGCAGAGCAGACAACATGTGTGTGGAATGGAACTGTGCATGATGCACTGGCTTTGGGAGTGGAAAGGCAAGGAATAGTGTTGGGAGCCGCAGCCTCACCTCTCGCTGCCAGAAATCCTTGCTCTTGCCTGCCCTCTCTCACCCTTCAGGTATTGCCACATACAGCCAGGGCTGTGTTTTTTCCTGGGGCTTAGAAACTTGCTCAATCTCTCTGAACGAACACTGCTGCTGTTTTCAGGAAGCTAAATTTTCTCAGTACCTCATTTTGGACTATTCTTTTTTTGTTTTTTAACCTTTGTGGAGCCCTGCAATTTTTTTGGACAAATTCCTGTCTGCACCTTCTTCTTCTTCTTCTTCTTCTTCTTCTTTAAATGCCGTCTCCTCAGCGTGTTTAGGCTGCGCTGCTCTCTCGCTGGACCTGCTGACAAGGTTCAAAA